GAATGATTTTTGCCCCTACCTTATGCATAATGGGTATATATATATATTGTTCCTATGTTTGTTTGGGCTTTAGGTTAAAAAAAAAAAATCTTTATATTTTGGTTTGTATTTTGTAGTTTTTATTTTGTTTTGGTCATTAAAATTTTATCATTTTATATGCATATAAAATCTCAACTATTTTGTATTACATGAAGTTAAAACAAAGTTTTAATGTCCATCAACCTATGCTGACATAATATTTCTTTTTATTTTTTTATCTAGTAACATCTAATAAGTTTGATCATATCAAGACAAACAAATTATAGATAAAAAATATATGATGAAAACTATGATCATTCAAAATTCAAGAATCTAACACATCATTATTTTAACTATCATTTGTGATCCATGTTTATAATAAAATGCCTAATTTTATCAAGCAATATTATATTGCTTAACTTCTTGCTTTTTTCTTTTGAATTTATCTTTTTAAATAATTTTTTTACATAATATGTCTTTTATTCCGGTCATCGTTTTGTATATTCTTTTCTTATTATTGTATGATAAAAAGTCAATTTAAGATATTTTATTTTTCATTTATATAAAGTAGATTTATATAAAAATTTTAAAATATTTTTTTATATCGTTTTAAACCATCTTATTAACATCACTACATAAATTTTTATATAATTGAATAGATGAAAAGACTATATAGTTTATCCCGTGACAACGCTCGAGAAACCTGCTAGCAATCATGCTAAAGGACAATTTGGAGAAATCAATTAATTGACACTAATCATTCTTTTTAAGATTAACCTGTACAATCCTATAATAATAATAATAGCACAATGATTTCCGGTCACACAGAGGATAGAGGATGATTGCTAGGAACAATTTTAGAAAATCGCTTCTTGTCGATCAACATATCTCATAGGACATAATCATATATAATATTTAACCATGTATCTAGCTAGATATGGCATAGGAACATCTAAGGATTCCGTAGATAGGAATGGCATTTTATGGGGAAAATATTAATGAATGATTTATAATAAATAATTATATAGGATTGTCTTTTTATGGGGAAAATCGCGTCGTGTACTGTCAAAGGCTACAAGGAATGACAAGTGCTGCCTATAGCTTGGACTCAATTCCCGTGGCCGCTACCTGTACCTGCAAATTGCAATACACAAGCAAAAAATTGGGGGAAAAAAATTACGTAAAGCAATACACTTGCATATACGGAGACCTAACTTCGCCCCCCTCTCTCTCTCTCTCTCCATATATATATATATGTATATATATGTTCTGTGTATATGTATGTATCATTATAAACATTTTCTGGTTGCCGTCCGCTCTTGCAATTGTCTCAGCTAGATTTCAAGGGGAGGGCTGTTTTTAGCCGAAAAAGCAGGGAGGTTTGGTTTATGTTCTAAAGGCCGAATAGGAGCCCAATACTTCATCAATGCATTCGAAGCTGAACTCTTTAAATACTACTAAGTTGGAAGCCAGATAATCCCCGGATTGAAATTGGGCTGCAATTCCAAGCCCAATGGGAAACTGGGACAAGAAGTTTGCAGGCTGGCTCCAGACAATTATCCATCACACGTGTCAGTACCTTGAGCTAACAGAATTGAGGAGGATTTGCTGAAATAATTTCGACAAAAACGCAGAGGAAATAGGTTGAGCTGTCTTTGTGCATACATAGTTTTGTAGCAACATAAAGTTATGTGCGAAACGGCATTACAATAAAAATTAAGAATAATAGATATGCATTCGTTTTCATCTGTAAACATATGTCTTAAGCGCTGGTCGATATTTCAAAACTGAAAAAAAAAGGCAAACACAAGGCAGCAAGAACGAGTAACAATCATTTGATCCTTTACTAGGCCAAAATGTGGCCTAAATGATTCCTGACTGAATCCAGGTCCAATTTCCTTTTTCTTTTCCGAATTAGAATTGGGTCCAATTTGAGTGGAGATTTCCAAGCCATTTTTTGGAATTACCCATATAACCCCATGGTGGTCATCGACTTATCATCTGTTGTACTTGCAGCTAGTGGTGAGGTTTTATTTACGCAACCAAGTATACAGAAGATATGTCCTAAACTCATTGTAATTGCAGCTAGTGGTGAGGTTCTATTTACGCAACCAAGTGTACAGAGGATATGTCCTAAACTCAACTGTGAAACTGGACCACGTCCTTTACTACACCATGCCATCATTTTTAGCTAACGTTTAAAATATAAAAAATAATTAATTTGTTTTTCAAAGCTAGAACTAATTTCTCATTTACTCATAGATGTATCGGGATTCTGCATTGCCGAAAAGAAAAAGAAAAGCTACACGTAGCATTACTGTGTTATTCTTTTTTTTTCCCCCTAATCAACCTTGATTCTAGTCTTGCATTATCCCTAGTGATAAGATATGATAGTAAAATCCTCTGAATTTTTTTAACTCTTGAAGCGTATTAGTTTTATTATTATTTTTTAAAGATTAAAAAGGTTTAACCATTCTGGAACTTTAATTAATTTGAAATTGAATCTCTGAATTTTTTTTTCAGATTTAGCCTATCTTTTAATTTTATGTTATTTATCTCAAAAAATAACAACTCGCATAAATAGTTTTACGATAAAAATCATTTAGCGAGATTTAGGTGGGACTGCTAAAAAAATTTAGGGTCATTTCAAAGTTATTTTCTATATTTTTAAAATTCATAGAATAAACCAATATAGTTTTTTATTTTGAAAAATTCTAGAATTTTTCAAAAAAAAAAAAATGGATTGATTTTTTTTTTCATGGTGTGTATAAAATTTCAGTTCAAAATACCAATAATTAAATTTTTTAAAAGAGAAAATGATAACTGAAAATCATTGAATAAATTAAATTTTTAAAAAAATTAAAAGTTTAGAATAAAACTAATAAAAAAAATTTCAAAGACTCAACCCAAAATAACTTAAGAGTTAAGGAATGGCTAGACTCCCTAGCTAGTGTTTGACTAAATTATCAACAATATCCTTTAAGTCTACTTTTGTTACCAAAACTAACTAAAAAACACAAAATCAGTTGGATTAGGTTGTTTCTGCATATAAATGGGCTCTTGGTCCTTCTTATCACACCATGAAAAACCTTTTTTGACAAATTAATTAAGGAAAAAAATATATACCTCAAAACATAAATTCTACACGATACTAAGAAAGAAGATGATGAAAAAAAAAAAAAAAAAAAAAAAAAAAAAAGATGTCACAGATAAGTGGCATTCGAATTTTTTTTCCTCTCTCTTAAAACCTTGCTTTTATATTTATTAATAGTCCTTTTATGACATTCTTTGTCTCTCTTAATCGTAGGAGGGTCAGACATACATGTCAATTGCCCACAAGTTTCAATGTCTTAAAAAGATTTATGACTTGTTGTAAGTGGAGCGAATTAGATAGTTTTTACATGTAAATAGGCTCTTGGCCGTTCTTATCACACAATTAAAGACCTTTTTTGACAAATTAGTCAAAGGAAAAAAAAAAAAAAACCTCAAAACCTAAATTCTACACTATACTAAGAAAGAAGATGAAGGGAAAAAAAACATAAGAGATGTCAAAAATAAGAGGGATTCGAATCCATTTTTTTTTCTCTTTCCTAATTCATTTCGACCCTTTCTTTTACATTTATTTAATAGTCCTTTTATGATATTCCTTGTCTCTTTTAATCGTAGGAGAGTCCAGCCATACATATCTATTACCCATAAGCTTTAAAATTCAATATATATATATATATATATATATAATTAAATGCACGCAAAATACTTACAATTCAAAAATTAAATAAGGAAGAGTACAAACATCAAACGAGACGAGCCCCAAAACCATTTCCTGGAAGTTTTGAATGTCTATGATGTCTGCACCATGACTCCCTCTAGGCAGTGACCATAATGCACGAATTGAGCTCCGATTCAAGATATGCTCTGATCAATTTTAGAAATAGATATGCTTCTTTTGTTTTATGATCTCTTGTCTTGTTTTTATAGATACTGCATATGGTATTTTGGTTTTTTTTCAAGTGCCCAATTTTGTTATTTTTTTGTGGGAGAATGTCGAATTTTCATCTTATCTGATTTTATGATTCTGTGTTCTTCCATTAGCAAATAGGGAAGATAAAATGGAAAGACTTTATTGGTAATTAATAAAATGAAACGTTAGGAGAATAATTGATAGAAATTTATTTTTGGTAAGAAATTGATAGACTTTATATTATTAGGAGGTTAAAATGAAATTTATCCTTCTTAATGATAATAATAATAATAATAAACAATTATACTTTAAATTTACTGACCAGAACACCACAAGAATTGCTAAATTAGTTGACATGAGTATTAAGTATACTAATTCGAACTATTTCAATTGTGGATATAAAAACTAGATTTTATAGTTAAAATAATATGCATATGCATATTCTCAAGAGATTAGTTAAGGTGGTAAAAAAAAAACTGCAAAAGTGAATGTAAAAAGCGTCTCTCGTGTGATGAACCTATTTTTGTCTTTTTCTTTCATTTTACCAAAACATAAGGATATACAAAATGTTCCAACTTTTACACCCATCTTTCAAAATGAGTGCAAAAACGAAGAAAGAGATCCAAACTGTTCCAAATAAAATGAGCATCGAATTTGACCACACTTGCATCCTATAAATAAATTTCATGTGTATGTACATGTGATGGGACTCATGTCCACCTCTGCAAAAGGACTGAGAGGAATTGAAAGAGAGGGCACGAAACCCAAAGCACCATTTGCAAAACAGCAGATACAGAGATGTAGAGGCTGAGAATATTGGACGAGAGATAGAAAGAGCACTGTTTACCAAAATTTTTTGAAGTTTGAGCCTTAAAACCAAACCGAAACCTCAAGTCACCGTGAAACAAAGAAACAAATTAAAAGAAGGGACGCGCATTAAACAAGATAATTTTTTAGATTGTTTGTGTTTGTGTTCGTGAGAGAGAAATTGCTTGTAGGTTTTTGTGTGTGTGAAGATAACATGAGTAATTGGTTGGGGTTTTCTCTGACTCCACATTTGAGATTTGATGATGGCTTCGATAGAGAAGACCAAGCTACTAGTTTCTCTGTCATGCCTCTGCGTTCTGATGGATCTCTTTGTGTCGCTGATCCCTTTAGACGCCAAGCTAATGGTGCTCCAGGTACAGCATGACCCCATCTCTTTCTTTCGCAGTGCATGTTTCTTTTTTTAATGAAATCTTGAACATGAATTATGAAGATTTTGCTGTAATATTTCACCTTATTTGATGGTGTTTTATAGATTGGAGATATGAGAACACCATGGATGGATCAGGTAGTCCAAGTGAGGATGGTCCAAAGCTTGAGGATTTCTTGGGGTGTTACTCAAACTCACCTTCTGATGAGACGAAAGTTTATTGCCAGCGAGAAGATCACCACACTCACCAAAACCATGCTAATAGAATCAATGTTAATCTAGCACCAAGCTTCAACACCAACGTAGATATAGAAACTGGGGAGAACAGTCTCACAAGCCATTCTTCTTTAATTCAAAGTTACCATTTCAATGACAATCCACAAACCCTAATCCCTAGTGACAGCCTTCAGCACTGTGATTCAAACCCCAGCCATAGCCACAACCATAACCATGAAAGTGGCATGTACCATGGGCCTTTTGAGAGTGCCAGTTCAGTTTCTGGGTTCAAGTCGTGGCTTAGGCAGACGACACCATTTTCTTCTTGTGGGAAGTCTCCAAATGAAGCGGACAATGGCAATTTTCAATCATTATCACTCACAATGAGTCCTAGTTCTCAGAATGGATTGGCTGCTATGTCTCCTTTGCAAGTGGTTGATAACCGTAAAAGGCCAGTTGCAAAATCAGTTGTTAAAGAATCAGTTTCTCGTAAATCTATCGACACATTTGGACAGAGAACTTCACAATATCGAGGTGTAACAAGGTACTAAGATTCAGTTTCCTTATTATGTCGGAGGAATATCTTCCTTTAAAATTTTCTTCACCATATATATGCAATTATCTGTGTTTTATGATTGTTAGGCATAGATGGACTGGGAGGTATGAGGCCCATTTATGGGACAATAGTTGCAGGAAGGAAGGACAGACAAGGAAAGGAAGGCAAGGTGAGAGAAATTTAGCTTTTGATATTTGCTGTAATTCTCTCTCGTATAAATTTATCTTGTCCTTTTTTTTTCCCCCTTCTTTTCTTGGAAAGAATATACTAACAGTTGTTTTTTTTCTTTTTCTCATGCACTTTTTGGGCACTCTCCTTTGACAATGTCACCCAAACCTTATGCAGTTTACCTTGGTAGGTGAAATTCTTATGTCCATATCATTTGTATGTTATTTACTCCTGTCACAAACAGAGTCTTTCTTTTCTTGTTTAGATATTTCAAAAGTAAATAAAAAGTGCATGAATTAAGAAAATATTTAATATTTTTTAATCTACTCGAAAAGTCCAATAAAATTCTATTTATGAAACAATGGGAATATATTCTTTAATTATATACTAAATAATTCGTATTTGTGGACTTAATTAAGAGTAGGGTTTATTAATTGCCGATTAACATATTTTTGTTTAAGTACATTAGATATTTTGCATGTTCACGTCCATCGTTCTTTTTGTTTAAAATCTTATATCAGGCGGATATGACAAGGAAGAAAAGGCAGCAAGGGCTTATGATTTAGCTGCCTTGAAGTATTGGGGTTCAACAACGCATATCAATTTCCCTGTAAGTCTGTCAGTCATCCTAAGTTGGTGTGTGCAAAGAAGTTCAACCATTTGTTTTGCATATTTAATATCTTAAATCTTTTATTTATTAAAAAATGTTAGTTGAGCACTTATGAGAAAGAGCTTGAAGAGATGAAGCACATGACCAGGCAAGAATTTGTAGCCAATTTGAGAAGGTAGTTGCCGTTTCATAATCTTTACTTAAAGAAATGAAAAAGAGAGAGAGAGAGAGATCTACGAGAGGGGAGAAAGATTGATTGCTTTGTTCAAATTTTGACAGGAAAAGTAGTGGGTTTTCAAGGGGAGCTTCCGTGTACAGAGGAGTGACAAGGTAATGGCAGAAAGCGACTTCCATGATGAAGTTTTTTCCATTATTTACTGCAAAAGCAGGCTTTTTTCAATTATCGTAGGGCAATAATAGGCCAACATTGCTAACCATGTGCATAGTTAGTATATAATATTAAATACGATCCCTCTACGTATCTTTCCTTCTTTCCTCTTTTTAGCTAAAGTTGCTTTTCCTTATCCTGGCAGGCATCATCAACATGGAAGATGGCAAGCTAGAATAGGAAGGGTTGCTGGAAACAAGGACTTGTACCTTGGAACATTTAGTAAGCCTTTGTTACTTTCTATCTCTTTTTTCTTTTTTTCAGGTTAGTTTTCTTCTATACAATTGTATGATGTAGTCATGTAGCGTGAGCATCCTTTCTAATGACATCACATCCTGCGTTTTGCACGTAGCTTTTTGGCCTCTATTATTCCAAGTGTGGAAATTTTTCAATCCCTTTTAGTTGTGAATTTGTGATGGTGTTTAATTTTTTTTAAAGCTAATGTATGTCTTGTACACAAAATACCAGGATCATTCCAAATGCACTAGCATACACTCTAGTCAAACACATTTCGATTCAGCCTTAACTTTCAAACCATTTGATGCAAAACAAGGATTTTATAGGTTGAGAAGCTTAACTCAAATATTAATCTAATCCTCAAATATTAGTCTAATCGGTTGTTACAATATAGGCACACAAGAAGAAGCTGCGGAGGCCTATGACATTGCAGCAATTAAATTCAGGGGTACCAGTGCTGTTACAAATTTTGGTATAAGTAGGTATGATGTAAAGAGAATTTGCTCAAGCTCAACACTCATTGCTAGTGACCTAGCTAAACGTTCATCGAAAGATTCGGCTCCAATGGCTCTTGAGGATCACAATTCTTGTGCTTCGTCAGCATCTCCTCAGCCCCTGCGTGCCATAGCAAGCAGTGAAGCCTCCGATGAATTGAATGACATGGTGTGGAGTGCAAATACAGAGGAACATCAACAGCAACAAAGTATTGACGACAATAACAATGATGTAACATTGATGGCTTCAAGTAGCAGGAATTCCTCCAATGCTGCTAGTCCAAAATGCTCGGTTGGTTTAGGAGCCAGTGATTTTGGCCGTTGCGGCGGAAGCGGCTCTCAGGTTTACTTCCCGTTGCAGGGTGCAAAGTATGAAGATGGTGATAATGGAAATGATAACGGAAGTAATGACCAGAGTATCGGTAGCCTTGATTTGGTGCATGAGGTCCCTATGTTTGCATTGTGGAATGATTAAAACATAGTAAATCTATATGATGAAGATTTTAGAACTCTAAACAGGGAAGTTAATTACACAAGAAAAATAGCTAGGTAGATGGTTAGCAAAATGTCACCTGAAGTTAGAGGGCTGGAATATGGATGTTATGTCGTTTTCTTTTCTTTTCTTTTGTTGTTTTTCGGTAGCAAATGTTGTCTGTTTTATCTTTTAGGCGCTTAATCAACGTTGTACTAAAAGCAGTTGAAAGATGATCAGGTTCATTGTCTTAGAATGAGTTTGGTGGCATGATATTTTGGTGTGCGTTGATAATGTTGTTCTAAGTTCTTACAGGCAGGATTTTACTTCGAATATGTCATTATCTGTAAGCATAAGAGGGCCCAATCCTTCCCCCAAAAAAAAAAAAAAGGTGGGTTGGTGGAGTGAAATTTTTGATAAAAGGCACTTGAATTTCTTATGATAAAGCAAGGGTGAGGGCTGATGAGCCCAAACAAATTACACTGCAGTTATTACACTTTCGACTATCTAATCCAAAGTTCCAAACCGAGCAGTAAACTTGGTTTCACCCCTCTAGCTAGCTAGCTAGCTAGCTGTATGACTGAAGACCACACCAGTCACTTTGCATGCATTTTACATATGCCACCTGAGACATGGCACAATTTCACATCCATCCCATCAGAACCAGGCCCTGTATATATGTGTAATGTCTCCAGCTACCGAGCCATCAGGGACCACCAAATCTCCATTGGGGTGCCTGCCAGAAACACGAAACAAAGAACAAAACGACCACCCCGTTGCTCCTATTGCAACAGACCAATACATAAGACATGTATTATTATTACACGACGTGCATTGGTGGTTATGGTTCAAAGACAGCATTCATTTTGCTATAAATGCGCTACCTCTTGGTGTATGATGTGCACCATCAAGCAAAAAGTCAAAGAACTTGGGGATGCCTAACCTTAGAGAGAAGGAAGAAAGAGAGGAAAGAATCCAAGCCTGACCGTTTGCAGGGGTGCCTTAAATTGCGTGCCTTTAGCCTTGTTGCAGTTGTTCTTGGATCTTTTTATTCAGTGCCAGGACCACTCCTCTTTATGGCGCGTAGCCCTCTGATAATCCTGTCTAATAAGGGTGTGTTTTGGTAATGCACTTGCATTATATTTTTAAAATACTTTTCCAAGTACGTATAAATCGAAAATGCATAATTTAATTTTTTTAAATATAATCTTTTTTTTCAACAGTAAAAGTATTCTTGAATCAATTTTTATATATCTCAAAATTAATTTTTTTTAAACATAATATTTTTTTTTCAATACATGACTTTGAGTATTTTAATAATAAATTTGTAAAAGTGTCGGTCATAAAAATAGAATTCTAAACTTAATTTATCGCTCCACATTTGTTTATCAGTCAATTATTATTTTGTAGTTTTTTAAACACTTTTAAATGATTTGATATGCTTAGCTGGAACATTGGCAAGCATCATTAATTTAATTTTTTTAGTCTAAATGTATTTTATAAAAGAATTTGCACATCACTAACAAACACAAATTATATTTGAAACAAAATACATTTAAGTTGAAAATGCTTTAACTTAATTTTTTTTAGACACTCGTAAATGATTTGATTGGTTCACGTAGAACATTGAAAAGCATATGAAAAAAAATTAATTTGATTTTTTTCAGTTTAAATGTATTTTTATAAAAGAAGTTGCAGTGCATTAATAAATAGACATTAAATTGAATTTATGTTTTTTTTATAAAATATTGTTTAAATAATAATTATTTGACATAAAACAAAATTTATGATTTTTTTTATAAATAATGTTGTAAATAAAATTATGATAATAATGATAACGATGATGAGATAACAATAATTGTAACACTTTATAGTGTAATTTTAGTAATGATATTGGTGATAATGATGATGCCTACAGCAAAAAATAAAATATTACAACCACGGGAATGATGCTACGATTGTTTGGCTGTAAGATGAGGTGGAATGACAGTCACGGGAGCATTGAAATTAACAGTACTGTAATTGAAATAGTTAGATGATATTATAATTAAATTGGTTTTTAAAACTATGGTAGCTGTGAGTTATTGAAAAAAAAAATAGAATGTACTTAGTAAAAAAAGAAAAAAATTATTGTGCATTTATTTCTTAGAAAAAAAATCATTTGTTTTGTTTTTAAAAGACCTCTCTCAAGAAGTTTGCATATCAAACCGCTCACTACTAATCCAACATAACCTAATAAATCAATGAGTATTAACTAATACATTAAAAGACAATGAAAAGCCGCTGTTCAATTGTCCTCAAAATAGTGGACAGACATCTAAAGTCGTATTTGAACACTGTGGAGATACACCTAAAAAGTACCGTGCATTGGCATTTTTGGTAATTTTAAAGTTATTTTGAGTCATTTTATATGCAAGTTTACTCAAATACTGCTCTTTAGTTCGATTTTTCAAGACAATTTTGTTTTGATGCCAAACATTAATTTTGTAACGGTTTATTCCTTATTTGTTGGGAGGAAAGAGAAACAAAAATAGGAGAGAGAAAATCACGAACAAACTTCTTCCAGCTACGTTGACTTTTTATTTTAGCTTCTATTTGTTTTTTTTCAGGAAAAAATTTTTATTTACGATAGTTATAGATAATGAAATATTTAGAAGAGGTAAATCGATATTTAAAATATTTTGAGTTATGACATGTTTTGTATGTGTTAAAATAATTTTTAAGATTATAAACAAATGTATTGGTCTTATTTTGATAAATTCGAAATGTTTTTAGACAAAAACAACATTGAATTTATCTATGGTGAGGCCGAAAACCAAAGACTCTTTTTCTTTTTCTTTTTTTTTTCAAAAACTTGAGTTCATTGAAAATCATAGACGGATGACAAGAAGTTTGTTGCGCAGCAAGCGAACAATGTGTTTTCTATTTTGATATTTTTTTTTTTAGGCAGGCCTTAGTCTCTGAGCCTAATCGCACGGGCCTACGCCCAACTTAGTTTTTTTTTTTCAATAATTTTTTTTAATTATTATTATGGATTTTTAGACGAAGATTACTAAAGATTGACCGTCTTTTTCAAAATTCACATATAGCTTGATGAGAAAAAAATATATCTGATATATTTTTATATTTTAAAATAAATCGATATTTTAGATTATATTATTTTTATTATTTAAAATTTATTCATCTAATTTTTTATTTTTTATAGAGATTGTCATCTAGTTAATTTTTTATTTTTGTTTTGTATATTTTGATTGACAAATATGATTTTTTTTTCTCTCTATGAGTTTTTGAATAAAATTTAAAAATATAAATACTTTTTTAAAACAAAATAAATTTTTTAATTTTATAATGATGGTAGCATGATTATCAGAAATGGTATAATTTATATTATAAATTAGTTTTTTTAAAAAAAATATAAGATAAATTATTTGAAATATATTTTTTAATCTTTAGATTGAATATATAAAATAAGTATTTTAGTTAAGAATTTATGAATTTTTAATTTTTTTTCCATTATTATAAATTTTTACTTTAGAATTTGGATAAAGAAAAATAAATTATATTTTTTGATCAAAAAATTATACAAACCATAAAGAATAATTAGTTAAATACGAAATTTTGATAAAAAAAATCATAAAATTGAATGATTTTGTTTATCTTTTATTTGATATATTTCTGTAAATTTATAGTATAATACAGATCATTAAAATAATTTTATATAAAGTAATTTTTTACTTTTTATTTAACATATTATTCTTAAAAATATTTTTTTAAATAATTCTATATATTTTGCCATCTACAGCCTAACTCGGGTCAAAAACTAGATAAGAAAGATAATGGTAAAAGGTGCTGTAGAAATAGATGATACTCGACCTATCAATTCACCGTACTTTATCTCTCTCGTTCTTAGATAAATAATCTTTCAGAATCGTGTTTTCTGCATTTGACGCTTGAGTCCTCATCGTTAAGCTTGTCCTTTCTTCTTGGGAGTTGGCGCCATCTCTCCCATCCTTCTCCTTTCGCCCACTAGACGTGAGAAGACAAATTTTTTAAAATTTTTAATTTTAATTTTTTTTACATCCACTTCTGGATAAATATGTTTAAGGGACGTTTTTGCTTCTAGTTTTTTCTCGCTCATTGTTCTTTTTAATGGACACTAATGGTTTGAAGAAGAGTTTCAAATCTGCTGTGGTGTTTTTTTCGGGGAGAAGTTTGTGTTTTGTTTGGTTATTTTCTGGGTTTGTGATGGCTGAAACTCTTATCGCAGGTCCAACGAATGATGGTGTTTGTAACTGTGGACCTCTATAATTAATGACAATTTCATGGCAGCTGTGGTGCCGACTATTTTTTTCAGGCGAGTTTGAGCACCTCCCCAACAGGCAGTCTTTATTGTATGAATTACTAATGGAGAATGAGATACGTGATCAGAGATGAGTCTTGGATGCTCAAGTTAATTTGCAGGTCTTAATATCAAATCAAGGCAAAAAAAAAAAAAAAAAACTAAAACAAGATCGACGGTTGGAAGAGACCCTCATCTCTTCTCTTTGCTTGGCAGTTGATTAAGGTTAAGCTAATGGGAGTGGATCAATTTAGTTGGGCTTGATTTCGTTTATTTAGATATCTGATACCCTTGAATCTAGTCTTTTGATTTATTATTTGGATTGAATCCTATGTTGTGTTTAGACAATCTGTGTGCTAAAATGGATTTATTGTTCCAAAAGAGAAAACACACACATGTATAGTTGACACTCTTATTTATTTATTTATTATGATTATTATATAATTGTTTTTTTAATCTCTGTTCACAAGTGAGGGTGTCTGAATTTATTAGGTGGATGATGATGCCGCCTTTTAACTGTCTGGTGAAATATTTTAAACATTTTTTTAAGCCTCAAGGGGTAAAGATCAAAATTTCAGTCACACACATGCAATTGGTATAATTGTGTAGTCCAAGATGGAGAGTTGGAGATTGACCCTCGTAAGTCGTGTATAAGAAACTAAATAAATGAATTATAAAAAAAAAAAAAACTAAATAAAAGAGAGAAAATAAAAAAACTTTAAAGGATAATATCCTCTTGGACGGTGCCTATTTCAGGATTACATTAATGGAGGGATCCTTTTGCTTTTAATTAATTATTGAGATTCGAAGCTCCCCTGCTGGCCCAGAGGAATATGCACGGACTGAGATGGCGTTAGCAGTGCCAGTAAGAAAATTTAAAGATGGATTCGAAGCAGAAGGGGGACCCACGTAAAATCTTGTAGAAAAGGGCTAAGAAAAAAAGAAATGGCAGGCTGGGGCCAGACCCCTCATATCTTGGTTGACAAACAAATCTTGGTTGACAAACACATACAAAAGTATCAACAAGACAAGATGCTTCAGGCAGAGACATTTCTGCATTAAAAGAAAAGCCTCAGTGTTCTCTGTAGATTATAGAGCTAAAGGCTAGGGGTATTAGGGTTTATTTAGGGTAGCTAGGTGGTATTAGGGTTTAGCCAGTAGCTAGCTAGCTCTATATATCTAGGCACTACGTAGATTATAGCTTGCGTGGTTTTTGGTTCTGCTGTGGTCTGGAGGTCTACTTAGGCTCTGTTTGTTCGAAGAAATACAATTTTGAATAGGAAAACCAAGTTTGAAGAAATTATTTTTCAAAATTTTTTTTTATGTTTGATAATTAAATAAGAAGATATTGAGTTTTTTTTTTAACTTTTAATTTAATATAAAAAACTGAAATACAAAAAAAAATTATGATTATTATATTAATGAGTTTTGAAAAAATTTTAAAAAAACATATTACCAATCGCACAATATAAGAATTATCAAAATATCACACACACACACACACACATATATATATATATATATTGTTGAGGCAATATTTGGCCAAATATCCTAACCTTTGGCATATATCATTTATCACATTCTTTTGGGTTTTATTGACGAAATGGATAAGCAGATACTTGCATTGGTGGTGGAGTTGAGAAATGTGAGTTTATGTCATAAAAGATATAAAATAATTATTTATAAAGAAAAAGGTCATATAAATGTGTAAATCTATCTTTTAATTTCATTTGAGGTAATTATAACTAAACTATTACAAAGTGACAAAAAAAAAATCACATTCAAATTTGTAAGTGATTGAAGACCAAATAAAAATTTATAATTTATTAAAAAGATTAAGGAATGCGATTGCATTTTACGGTATGTATCTTTATGCATATTAATATTATTTCATGTTATAAAATTTTATTATGAATATGATTGAGATAAAAATGTATGTGCTTTTCCTCGTTATAAATTCAATTTTAATTTTTATGTTCAATAATTAAAAATATTTTCAAACTAATATATGCATCAATTAAAATTAATTCTTTTCAAAAGCACCTCTCATACTGGCTTATCTCATTAAATCAATGTTTGGTGGTGTGACAACTATCCTTAACAACCAAGCATATATACTCTTTAAGATTAAATAAATTTAAGTCCGCTCATCTATGTTTGGTGGTGTGAAAAAAAAAAAAAAAAAAGCTTGTGCAGCATCACTCTTCGACAGTGGTGGCTTATGAGACTTGAAAATTGTAATTACACAGTAGTTTAGTGGGATGACATGGTAGCATAAAATAAAAGCAACAAAGCACTACCAAAAATCAAGTTACTATCGTTCTAAACTGCACCTGGGGATGAGAGGAATTTGAGCAATTTTTATTCAACTCCAGCTTGCTGCATTTTTTTATATGCAGAAGAAAGCTTGTGGGCCGTAGTTATACAATTGTTTTAGTAGGCTATATCAATGATGTGAAACTGGAAAATTCAAGCTGCCATGCATGCGCCCTTGCAAATTCATTTTCATGGGCTGCGTTCTGGGATGCAGGTCTTTCTATTTAATGATACAAAAATTTGCCTCATCTCTTCTTGAAGGTTTCCTTAATTATATGCCAATTCATAGATAATGTACGTACAAAAGTAATTAAGTTTCTTCTTTTCAATTTCATAAAGAGTTTGTCTTAACACAATCTTTAAAGCTATATTCTCAAATTAGTGTAGTTTATGCAAATGGTGGGCTTTCATGATACCAAGCTATAATCAATCCACAAGATAAATTTCTACCAAAACATTACTGCACATGCACTGCTTCATCACCATTACCTCGTATAACTTGCCCCGTATATATATATGTGTGTGTCTTTCTCCTTTTGGTATTCTAGAGGATTTACATGCTATATATATATAGAGAGAGAGAGGGAAAAATAAACTAGTAGCAACAAATCTAACTGCCAAAAAACAAAGACTTAATCCAAAAAACACAACAGAAGTTTACGAGGATTGACAAAAGAAAGTGATAAAAAAGAGATCCAAAAACCATAGCAGCAATTTAAGGAGTAATAAAAGAAAATGACAGACAAACAAGGAGGAAGACGCATAACAGTTATAAGATGGTCTCCAAAGTATTTCTTTGTCCATTCCCTTTAATTAACTCAATTGAGCAGCTCAATAGCAGTATTTATATCATTAACCATTCACAAAAATATAGCTAAATTAATACAAAATCAATCATTCATAAAAATAAACGAATACCTAGAACAAACGGCCAGTAACACCATCACTAGCACCCAACAAAATTGTTATCACAAACCAAGAGCTCAAGAACCCTAATGACATTCAACAATTGTAATAACTAATTCTCAATCAAATAATATTACACAAGAAATCAGATCTAAAATAAGAATATATACTAAAATTTTACAAATCAAACAATATTATTATAAGAAATTACAGTAGATCTAACCGTTCTTTTGTAGACTTTATTTGCTCGATTGTAACGTTAGCTTTATTGCAATGACGTTAAGTGGTGAAGATGTCCTTGGGTTGGCTTCAAGCAATAATGAAACAAGTGGACTTAGGTGAGAACAAAGATAGACAATTTTTGAACTCTAGAGAAAAAAGGTTTTTTTGTTTTTTTTTCTGTGAAGTTAGTTTATCAAAACTTACCTTTTAATTTTTTTGAAAAATAAGTTTCTTTGACTTTTTTTCAATATGACCAAACAAACATAGGAAAAGGCCAAACAAAAGCAACCCTTGACTATCGATGCTTTTGCTAGCAATAGGTAGGACTACTTGCTTTCTCCATTTCATTGCTGAATTTGTCTGGTGCGGGACAGGTTACACAGCTACTAGTCCAAGGACTCTTTTATCATTTTCCTTTTAATGTATTTATTTGTAAATCGTGTTGAAAAAGTTGATTAGTGATTGGTTTGGGTTTGGCAATTGGCACTTGAGTGACTTGTTTTGGCACGTTCTTCGTTTGGGAGAAAATATAGTTTTAATTCATTACAGGCCAAAATGATTTATGTATAATAGTTTGAGATTAAAAAAAGGAATTAACTTGCAAGAGTGATGCAATTAATCCATGCACGAATCCCTTTTTTTTTTTTTTTTTTTTCTGATTCGATCCCTACTCGACGATCAATTTGGTTTGCAAATTTTATTATTGTTCATTTTGTAACCAAAAATGAAATAAAGAAAAAAGAAGAAGCAAGCATTGCTAATTTTCTAGCCAGTTGCAATATTCTTATTGTTGAACTATTAGAGACATAAACTCAAATATTTTAGCAAACTTTTCAATCAACATCAAATTAATGTATCTCCACGTTATGGTGAGATTGCAAGGAAAAATTTTAAAAATAAAAATTATTTCCATATTGTTTGTTATTTTAATGAAAATTTCCTTCACAGAAAAAAAAACTCATAAATTAGAGTAAATAACAAATTAAAATTTTTCGTTTTTAGAAACAAAGTAATTAATCTTTTTCTGTTTCAAACACTAATTATTTAATCTTTATATTTTTAAATTTTATTTACAACTTAATTATTTTCCTTCCTTTTCATTTTAATTTGGTTTTTTGTATTAGTAACTAAAAAAAGAAAAATAAATAAATAGATAAAGTAAAAGATTGATAAAAAATGACATTTTATATAAAAATAATATTAAATTCAGTATAGTAATCAGTAATTAAAAAAATATAATTAATTTTTTAAATAAAAAATTAATTAATTTGTTTTTTAAAAATAGAGAGATTGATTTATACTAATTTACTCAATAAAAGTAATTCCAATTATGAGTTTTAGGACAAACTTTCCTCCAATAGTTATCTGGCGTGCCTCAAATCGGAGACTGTATTTTAACTCGTGAAAGAAATAAAAGCAACAATTTCCAAGGCAACACTGCATTCGATAATTGCATCCCATGGGAGAAAGCCTTCACAATGTGGAAGACATACGTGGCCCATCCCCTCCCTTTATCCTGTCTATCTCTGCAACTCAAACAAATAACTGTTACGTTGAAAAAATAGCAATGCAGCAAGCTGGAAAGGCGTTTGATTAACAGTACCGACCCTTTTTTTTTTAATGAAAAAGACAACATAGAATTTGTCGAGGTATTGATGTTTTGTTTCCGAAAAAGACTTCAAGGCCCATGGTAGTAGATGCAGTTGTAAAAACTTGTGAATGTAATGTCCAAGTCCAAGTCCAAATCCAAGTTGCGTGGTCGAGTCTCTTCTTCCAATTGCACCTGTCATGGGCTTCTAATGCCAGGCGCCCGGCCTATCAAGATCACTCAATAATTAACATGTGACTGGAACGAGGGTGGTGGCCCACAACCTACATCCCTTTCATGCTTTTATTGGGGATAAATTAATTTGAGTAAATTATAAATTAGTCCTTTTAGGTTTTCAAAATGAATTAAAAATAGTCTCTTTAGTTTCAGAAAATAATTAATTAGTCCCTGCATTTTTAAATATATATTAATTTAATTCTTTTTTTAATTTATTTTGATTTTTTTTTTGTTTTAAGGAATAGAAAAGGAAAAAATTAAATAAAAAAAACATGAAAGGATTGGGAGAAAAAAAAGAAATATTTTTTGAAATAAAATAATATTAAATTGATCATAATGAATGCTGGTGATGAAATTAATTAATTAGTTTTTTTTAAATAACTATTTAATTTATTTTACAAAACTAAAAAGGATTAATTTATAATTTACTCAGTTAATTTTGGAGTTTTTTTTTTTTTTTTTTTTTTTTTTTTTGACTGGATGGCAAGGATAGCAAGAAGTCTTACCCTAAGCATGGAGAAATTTTAAAATAGTTGAAGAGAGAGAAAATTACATCCAAATTTATGAAAAAAAATAATAAGAATATTTTAACATAAATTCATTTTTTTAATTATCTTTTTTCTTTGTGTTTATATCTTTTTTATAGAATAATTATTTTTAAAGGAAGATAAAATTTCTCCTCCTAGATGTTTTTTTACTGTAGCCATAGAACAGTTTTCGCTGACAAATTTTGGACATTGTTGAAACGAACTGCATGCGTTTGCTGCGGTTATCTTTTCATACTTGCGTGATATTTGCATCCCAACAGGCAACGGTAAATCTTGACAACCGAAGGGTGGTGTATTTATTAATGTGGTCTTTCTTTGTTTTAAGGTGATATAAATAAATACAATGAATGGATCTTGTAAGTTAATTTTGAAATCAAAATCTTTATTTTTTATCTTTCAAAATCCAATCTTAGATTTCTCAAGAAAAAATAAAAAATCAACTGAAAAAAGACATTTGTTTTAAATAAAATATTTACAGATGGAAATGTATTAAAAATTTTACATCAAACGAACAATTTTTATGATATTTAATAAATAATGACATAAAAAATGCGATAAGAGTAATTAAATGACGATGATTTTTTTGTATTGACAATAAGATAATAATAGAAACACTAAAAATGTAATAACGGTAAAACAATGATAATAATCGTAGTGGAATAATAGAGTTGGATGATAAATATAGTTTGATCAATGTTAATAAGATATTTTACTAAATTTCATACAATAAAATTATTTTTTTAATAAATAAATTAAGTTTATAGTTCGATAATAGTTTAGTTATATGAAGTTTTATGTAAACCATTTTATACAAAACAATCATTGAGAGAGAGAGAGAGAGAGAGAGAAGAAGAAGTTGAAAGTAATAAATTTCACCCGAAAGAAAAATGTGATCTAAGAACGCAAAATAGGGGAAATATGGAGCTATATCAGGCCCAAAATGCTCTTCAATAATATTGAAGGATCAAGTCGACCTCCAAAACCCAATGGCTGACTAGATTTGACTAGGTGTTAGTTTCTCATTGACAGGTCATCCCCACACACAGAATGAGAAAACTCCTCCACATCTCCCTCTCTTCCTCTGTCACCTTTATTTTTTTTATTCTTTATTTAACAGCTAAAAGCTCTGTTTCAAGATTCTTTTTCTAGGCAATCAATCACCTAAATTAGCCTGTTCCAACCGTTGATCCCCGCGTTGCTCCCTCTCTCTCTCCTGCAGTCCTGAGAAAGACAGTAAGCATCACAGACAGATTACATGCATTCATTTACATTTGACCTACGAATCCCTCAAATGCATATACCCTAGAAGAAATCAAGGACCCAGGTTTTTTTTGTTCCCCTGATTTCTCTGGACTATAGCAAACAAAATCCCTGCACCTGCCGATTCTAAATCATCCCAAAATGAAAGAACCCTAATGAATCCTCTGCTTCCAAGTCTAGCCCAAATTCTTGAATTTTAACTAGATTGCTGGAAATTCGAGAATTTGGGGCCAAACCCAGATGTCAAAACCCCTTCAATCATCTAACCCAACCCCTTGATTTCCCTTCAGTTTTCTTGATTCATGGAAACGAAATCATCAGTCACCTCCACCTCTCTGATTTTAGGGCTTATATTCACTTTCTGTGCCCTTCTTGTTGAATCACAACCACAAAGTGGCCGTCCATCAGCCCCATTGATGGCCTCTCCTCCTCCTCCTCCACCGTCCCCGGCACCACCTTCGCCACCATTGCCGCCGCCGCCGCCGCCACCACCACCTCCCCCTCCACCGTCACCGTTATCACCCCCTCCACCACCATCACAATTAGCACCACCTCCGCCAAGAAAGAAACTGCAGCCACCCCCGCCACCAAGGCATCGATTGAGCGGAAATGACAAGAGAAGGAGAAGGCATCCACCACCACCACCACCACCATTGAAGAATCACCAGATGAATACAGGGAAAAAGATTGGGTTACTCTTTGTGGGCATTGCTGCAATCTTGCAGATTGGTGTTGTTGGGTTCTTGGTTTTCAAAAGAAGGCAGCTTTTGAAGATCAAAGATAGATATGAAACTTGCTCTTCTTGATTTCTTTTTAATAGTTTCAAGTTTATGCAATGGATTCTTTGGAAGGTGGTTTATTGGATTGATTCTTTGGTGGATGCAAAAATATTGGATTGATGTATAACAGCATTCGAGGTTGATTAGAGGATTGGTTTCTCATTTTGGGTTGGGTCCTTGGGGTTTCTCTGTAAATGGGTAATACTTGATTTGGCATTTTTTTTTGTCCATTTTTATTCTCTCATGTGGATGTGGTAGTTCTATTTACACGGCTTATAATTCAAAGTAGAGTTAATCCTTTCACCACGGTTTTCTGCTAACATTTATGATTGTAAACAATGCTAGGAGTTATGGAAATTCGAAGGATTGCAATGACTGTCTATCTAGTGCACATTCTTTTATATGTGTTAATGAGATGTATGATTTGTTCAGTATTTTGGTTCATATTACGGTTTGGTTTAAATTTTTGTTGCATTTACCAATTCGTAGCTCTATGAAGTTATTATTCACTTGATTTTGTGAATTTTACCTATTCCTTTCGTCCTTTGTTACGGTAAGAGGTTCTTTTATGACAATAGGTTGTTAAACAGAGGCTTCGAGGGGAGAGTTTTGATATTCCGAGTTGATGTGTTGTAATAGTTGGTACCTTGTGCTTAAAACCTGTTTCTCTGTACCTTACTCTGTCAGTGGAAAATGAGGTGGTTTTGCACCTTCACAATAGCGTTGTATTTGTTTGTTCTCTCTTCTTATTCCCTTCTTCATGAAGCAAAAGGTTACTGGAGTACAAGTGTTAATCATCCTTATGGATGGTTGCATAAGACCCTTTCAATCATATTTTAGAGCCATAAGAATGTTTGGAGATTCAATTAAGTCATCTAATGTAATGTCTTGCCGTAATTAATGACATGAGATATTTTTTATTCTCATTCCATGGATCAACTGCCTGATTATATCCTTTCAGCTCACAAAAGTTTTCCATAGGGTGACTGTCCTCCGATTCAAGCTGCTTCCCTTGCATTCAATCTCGTGCCTTTTTCTTTGGCTCTGTTGATCCGTGTGATAGGCTCGTAGCAACCAAAAATGTAAACTATTGGCATTCCATAGATGTTTGATGATTGACCTTTAGTGATTCGAAGTTGTAGGTAGTTCTGGTGGGAAGTTCTTTAATTGTTGGAACTGATTTTAAAAGGATTAGCTATTTAGGGACAGATTCCATCTACGTGCATTGATTGATAACATTGGATTAGATGTTTGAAACTCCCCGATTCTTTTAGTTCATGTTTTATGTGAATGATCCTCGTTTTTAAATGGATTAATGTGGCTTGGTGATGAAGCAATTGATAGCAGTCTCTTCGTATTATTGCTGTAGTTGTTGGGTTTCGGGTTATAACCATTTCATTGTTATAGGAGTCAGAGAGGACCTGTATTAATTGTTTTGGTTATGTTTGTTAGAAATCTGGTTAGTTTTGTGCTTTACTTTGACTGGTAAAGACACTTCACTGCAATTGGGAATCAACGAAGAAATTGATGGTTGATTAGTGAGGAAATGCTAATGTTGTACCAATAATCTTACCCTGGTTATTAGGGTGTTATGTATTTTGTCCAACTAGATGAAGGGTACTGCATGTTTAGAATGAAACTGGAATGATTGTTTCAAATGCTGTTGAGGGGTCTGAAGATAAAATAAGCTTAGCTAATCTCAAAAGAGAAAAAAAAAAAAAAAAAGAGAAAAAGAAACAAAAAGGGGGAATGGAAAGCATGCATCATCATGTTTTTATTGGAATGGCTAGCTGGCTAATTATGCCTATTGCGGTCTTCTGACTATGTTTTAGAATGGCATCTGATCTTATAAGTTAGCCAGCCACGTTTTTGGAGTTGGTAAAAGAGGGACATTATGTTGCCTGCTCGTGATTGCCTAGATTTGGGGAGAGCGTTTTTCGAAGGTAACACCATTTTTAGGCGTGACAGTAGGGTTGCAAGTAATCAGTTACAAATTCAAGTTAGGATAATGAGTCGTCAAACATCATATAATTTATTTATTTCACTCCATTTATTATTAGATTGCAGATTTAAAAAAAAATTAATGATATTGATTATAGAAATTAATTAAGTACAATTTTATATATGGAAATAAATATTTTTAAGTTTTCCAAAAAAAAAAAAAGGAGTAAATATTGATTTTGAGCTTTGTATAATCCTTATTTGTATATTTCAAACTCAATTTTTGCCTGCTGTTTTTATTTTTTTGACATAATTTTGGCCTACTATCAAATGATGGATCAGTTAAAAGGAATTGTTATCAAGTTCGAATTGAATTCTACTCGAACAAAATCGTATCATCGACTGTCTTCAGAACATTTTCTTCCCCTCTAAACATGCTAACAAATAATGCATTCGTATATTTATATTAGGAAGTGGTCTCGGGAATAAATCTTTTTATTGTCGTCCAAGAACTGAAGTAGCGTAGTGGAAAGGGAAAAAAAGAAAGAAAAGGAGTGAACTATTTTCAGCATTTGGATCAATCTCATATATACATAAGGATGCTACGCGCTTTTATGATAAACTGTCCCAATTAAACCAAAATGGTATTGATGAACTACTTTATTTCTTGTGGATATCAAAATGGTATTTGTCAAATTTGGTTTAACCTCAGTGTGAAAATGATAACAAACTTTGTTTAGTTGGATACTTGATTTAAAAACAGGATGCAGGGACGATATTCGCCGTCAAGTCTTGCCTCTTGCAACCTTAAGAACCGCAACAACTCAACCAGGACCGATATGTATATTTCTGTTGTCGGCTGCGAGTAGAAATACTGGTAATAGCATCAGGATCCGTTTTTATGTAGTTGGGCTAAAGAAGATGAGCCAGCTCATCAGATTGGCCACTGACGCTATTGATGACGCATAGATTGCAAGAGGAATAAGTCAACATTATCTAGATGGGCATTGCATGTCCAATTCAAGGGAGAAAATCAGCTTGGATTTGTGTGCTTTATTTCATCCAGTCTCACCAGCACAAGGTACAATGATTTGAATCACCATGACCATGCGATCAAAGCCGAAACCTGAGATGATTCTCTTTGTTTCATCAAGGAAAAAAAAGGTATATGCATTGGACGGCTGGGATCTCCCTATTCTGTGGAATGTCATTGACTTGATCGTTGACTCTCTCTTGGATGGAAGAAGGTGGACCCCATCATTGGCCTTTTTGGCAACTTTTTTTAACCTTTTGGAACTTCATTAATTTTAGTTTTACGCATTAATCACATATGTCAAATGTGTGTTAAGATCACGAGTCTCACATACATACGAGCCAATCTGACAAACACACGAGGTTAAAAATAAAAATCAAGTAATAAAAGATAAGGGGCGACGAGCTTTAAGTATGAAGGTACTATTATACTTTGTGAAACATTTGGGGAGGCCATGATAGCACGGCCCTTCACCAAAGTTGTGTCGTCATCTTTATTTGGTTTCAAATCTATTTATTTTACGTCTTGGTGATAATACTAGTGATTGATCCTTTCCTTGGAGTAAATTATAAAATAGCTCCTCTAGTTTTGAGAAATAAATTAATTAGTTCTCCTATTTCAAAAACTCAATATTAGTCTTTTTGTCCATTTTATTCTCTTTTATAATTTTTTTTATTTTTTTTTGTTCTAAAAAATAGATATTATAGAAAGATTGATGATAAAAGTATATATTTTTTTAAATAAATTTATTATTATTTTTTTTAAAACAAGAGGAACTAATTTATAATTTATTCTTGATCCTGTTTTTACTTTGGACCATTAGATATCTATATTATTTTTATTTTAATTGAACATATTTTTATTTTCTACATCATCAACTTGACTCGATTTTTTTCATTTAAATCACAGTACTAACACTTTTGTCAGTGAAAATATAATTCATTATAAAAATATAATATAATATAATTCAATAAGAAATAAGAAGCATGAGATATCTTGATGTTTTGCAATTTCCTATTGTTCATTAGTTCTAGAAAATTAAGATTATCTTTACATTTCAAACTCAGTTTTTACTTTGCCTCTAGAAGTATATATATATATATATATATTTTAAACTTACACATTCAAAACCCTTAGTAGAATTAATTTATTAAAATTAAAATTTATGATCTCTTATTATAAAAAACTATTATTATCAAATTACAAGCCTTTTGATATTTATATTTATATTCTAGTTATTTGTTTTCCAGACGCCACCTATGGGTAAGAGCATAGTCTACAAAGCGTAAAAAGGCACTACGTTTATTTTAGTAGATATTTACATTTAAATGGATAGCAATAGCCTCATGTGAAGAACTCAAACCCAGCCGGGTTTACTAAATAAATAAATTTAAAACAAAATTGTTACGTGATGTTGATTTTTTTTTTCCCATATTTTGTTTTTAAATGTTTATTTATTTATTTTTTTTTTAACGAAAGAATCGATTGGAGAATGCTTCTTATATGTTTGTGGATAAATTAATAAAAATTAGATTTATAAAGACAGATTTGAAACCCAACCTAAAATACATGTTGATATTTGTTAAAAAAAAGAAAAATTTACCAAACCTTAGCTCAATTGATATCAATATCCCATCTTCTTTCAATACAATAGCTCTCATTTTTTAACCTCTCTTTTATAACATGCTAAATTATATATATATATATATATATAAAGGTTAATTTAGCAGGTAGCTTTTGCCTATAATATTAAATATACCAAGTGTTACATTTTCTTTCTCCTCCTACCCTTTAAAAACAAAATAATGAGATAGCTAATATCTTTTATCATGCTAGTCAACGAACCTTGACAAGTTTTTATCAAGTATTTGTTATTGAAAACCATAAATTTATTCAGGGCGGATCGCATTAAATTCTTGAAAATGTTTTGGCTTTCCCTGTGCCATCCTTTTAAGCACCTAAATTAAAATTAAAAGAATTTAACGGAAAATTAGGTTGCATTGGTTACTTTATAGGTAAAAAAAGAGGCAGTATCATCGTATTTTTCGAAATGTAATTAGTTAAATGGAAGGGAGCAAGAGGTATCAGCATAACAACAACAAAAAATGCCAAAAGCAATGAGAAATAAAAAGAATTCCGAAAAAAAAATAAAGGGAAAAAGAAGAGTTTAGGAAAGTCAGAGCAACAAATCAGACTAAATGTAGGAATTCTGCAGCAATTAAGCATAGCAGATAGCAGAAAGTAAAGGTATCCGGGTGAGCTAATTTCTGACAATTAAAAGGCATAAGAGAAGTGAAAGCTGTCAAATTGGAGCAATGTTTTTCAATCATATATAGTTGACAGAAAGCTTGGACTGCTTGATTAATTCAAGGAGAATAAAAGAGAAAATCATTTTCCTGTGGATGATGGATTTATCTTTTATATATTGAATGCAAGAATTGATAAAGTTCAAAATCGTTTGTCCTCTTTTGATGAACGCAGATTAGAAGTTTTTTTCTACCACATTTTCAGATTAAAAAAGGCAGCATTGGTAGTAGCTAGGGAATGGACAAATCGGTTTCCTTTTTAGCATATTGGTTGCTGGGACCCAGAGTCCAAAAACAGGTTATGAGTGCTGCAGCTAGAACGAGCATGCAGATGCCAAAAGAGAAAAATGTTGATGCTAGTTTCTACAGCTGTGGAGCCAAAAGCACATGTACATCTGAACATGCTTCCAGTCAAACAAGCAAGTCTACAAATCCCAAACATGTTTCTTTGAAAGGGAAGAGCAAAATAATGATCAAAGGAAGCAAAAGACAGGAATCCTCTTGTGGACCTACATTATTAGTCCTACACCTTAAGTGCCAGAAAAACTTCCCCTGCCACATTTCAGCATCCGATTCGAGAAAGGCATTGACCCACGAACAAGTACTGTTTTGGCCATGTTACATAAGATCCATTATTGAGACTTCAATCATCTGCAAGACATGAGTATCCTGTCATATGAAGACAAAAGAAAAAAAAAAGGGTACGAGAAGCAAGAATAACACAAATTATATTCGATTACAATATTATTGAGCTGATATTAATGTCGATATAATTACCAGCAGTGTGAGGTCTTGAACTGGATGCAAGATCAAGCCACGAGTCTGCGTCCTTTGGTTCCCACTCACCAAAGAAATGGTGCAATGACTTCTGGGTTTCGGCTTCTTTCTCCAACTTGATTGACCTTGTCGCTGAGGACTTGATAATATCAGTGCCCAAAACGAAGCAACGCTGCCCTGGTTGTTGCTGCTCTTCTTTAGATGTATCAGCAAAGCTTTGAAACTGTGACTCTGAGTAATCTTTGTAGGAATTCATTGCCAATTGGTTATATGAATCTTGTACGCCTCTTGCACTCCCTAAACCATCTGGGAAGAAAGCTCTCTCATCCACATCCTCCCTCATTCCATGTGAATACCTTATAATTAATGCAACAAAAATCTTAAACCATGAAAGCAAAGAAATCGAAATTTGCAATATATATATATATATATATATATATATATATATATATATATTTTATTAACTTACACACACCTGTACTCCTTATCAACATGAGGAGAGGATCCAGAGTCCAAAAACTGGTTATGAGTGGTGCTGTCATGAGGTGAAAAACCAGAACCAGCTGGAGGTCCAGAAGATGAAGAATGAGGATAAAGGAAGGGATTAAGGTAGGTGTTGTGGCTAGAATTTTGATGGGCAAAAATTTCAGATTCCCCAGATGAAGAAAGGTGAGAGAAAGAGTAAGAGGAGCTGGAGGGTGAAACAGTGGTTTTAGAGACGTTTCTGTTGATTGATGTTAAAGGAATTGTTGTCGCTGTTGCAGTTGTAGTTGAAGTAAGTTCTGCAGGCTTTCTTGAACGGTTTCTGCCTCTGTGCATGTGCCTTTCACAATACTTGGAGTCTGGGTATGCTTCCTTTGAGCACCTCCATTTCTTTCCATCCGTTCTTCTGCACCTTCCTGGCTCTGGGTCTGCTTTTCTGCCGAAACCCGCCTGAAAACAACCCCACCCAACTACGAAAACAGTCTCAACTTTCTTTCTGAACACTTGTTTTTTTTTTTTAATTATTAAAAAGAAAACAACATTCAAAGTGATAAGCACAGATCAGCTTACTAGGTTGGTGAGGGAAAACTCTTGAAGCCAAAGAAGATTCCAAGCTTCTTTTGACAGAATAGAGGAGTTCTGGCGGGACAGGGACACCAGAGACCATGTATTTGTAAATGAGAGCTTGGTGTTCAAGCTCTTGCCACTGATTTGCAGTGAAAAGAAAGCTATTTCTGGCACTTGCTGTATTCAACATACTTGAGGAAAAAAAGATGCCCAAAAGAGCCAATTAAAAGGTTAAGCAAGTTGTTAATTATAGAGAGATTTCAAAGACAAAAGGAGGGTTTTTTTTTTGGTTGCTGTAGTTGTTCTAGCTGGGCTGATAGTTCTTCTGTGCATGAATAAAAATTAATGGCTCTCATATACAATACTGCTGCCACCTCCTCTCTCCCTCTAGTACTGAGTGAGTCTGCTCCTATTATGACTGCACCTCTGTTGCTTCTGCTTCTGCTTCTGCTGCTACCGCTGCTCTTGTCTCTGACATCATTGCATAAATCCATAAACTAATGTACAAACAAAGTATGAAAATCTGAAAACAATTAAATATTGAACTTTAGGGCTACTAGCCTTGCAAGCACCTTCGGTTTTGCTGTCTCCACAATATGTCATGGAAATGCGTGCCCTGTCTATTATACTACAAATCTTTTTCCGTGTTATTTAAGAGAAGGCTTGTGTCATGTACATCCTGTTACTACAAATCTTTAGTTACAAGGTAGCTAGGTAATTTTTTATTTTATTTATTTATTTATTTCACACAGCAACCTTGAAGATAACCGATTGAGCTGATAAAATACTAGATACCATACTTACTTTTCAGTTAGTGTCTACATAACTATTTCTCTTAATAAAAAATTACACGATGATAACTAATTCGTTTAAAAGGTTTCCAGATTTTTGGTGTATATATATATATATGAGCATGTGATTGTGGCGTTTTTTTTTCTCCCATCATGTTCATGATGTTTATGCACACACCATTCAGACGGAGCGTAGTAATATCAGTCATTGCTACTCAGTCTCCAGATCATGAACATGAATTGAAGTCTGGAAATTTATGTAGTTCTGAAAACTAAACTATATGAATGTAATTATTTCTGTTGCAGAATGGAAGGGGCAATGGGTGGGGAAGGTGTGATTTGATGAGTAGAGTAGAGAAGATGCCATAATAGTGCAAGAGAGAAACCGTTGGGTAGAGGGAGGTATCTGAACTTGTTTGGTAGCTAGTAGAGGACCCTTTTCTCTTCCAAAAGTAATTGTCAGCAAGTGGCGGAGAAGTGCACTCTGAGGAGGAGGGGGAGGCGACAGGCGACGTGGGGACAGTTTACTCTCTGTACAGTACGGTTGCTCTGTCCCAAAACACATGCCTGTCCTACTTTATTGCGCTTCAACTAACTTAGCTTTTCATTCATTAACCCAATGTTTCCTGAATTAGATTTCCTTGAACAGATCCTTTTCCATACTAGCGACTCAGTCTTCCTTCACTGTGAAGCCCAATATTTGTTGGGTTGCCAGCAAGTAATTTAATTTGTAGTTTCACAGATATAGGTCTATTGCCCACCTGGGATCTTCGACAGGGAGCCAGGCCTTGGCCTTACTTTGTCTCTTACATCCCTCGAAACAACACTGTTCTTTCTTCAAACTCGTAGCGCAATCAAACAAAAACACCACTCAGTTTTACCTAAATAAATAAACACCTCTATCATCACAGGAGTAAATTATAAATTAGTCCCTTTAGATTTTTTTAAAAAATAAATAGTTCTTCTAGTTTTAATTAGTTTTTATATATTTAAATCTATTTAGAATTCAATCCTTGTTGTTCTTTTCTCTCTATTTAATTAGTTTTTATATATTTAAATTATAAATTTGTTTTGATTTTATATTTTAAAAAATATATACGAGGATTGATGAAGAAAATAAATATTTTTTAAAAAATTAATTTAATGTTGGTAAAAAAAACTAATTAATTAATTGTTAAAATAAGAGAGACTATTTAATTCATTTTACATACTAAAGGGACTGATTTATAATTTACTCATTATTGGTGTACTATCACTCGAAAAGTGATACAGATGATTTGATTTGATTTATTCATCATATTTTGAGATATTAATAATATTTCTGATTTTTTTCTCCAGAACTAACAAAAGTTTAGATAGTCACAGGATTGTGACCTAATTAATAACCACAGCTTTCCCATACGGAGGAAATTGTTACTTTGTAACAATTTGTTAGTTTGAAATATTCTTCCACCACATTCTTATTTATGGAAACGAAATGAAATATTATTTTTAGTTCTAATGACCGGAGTATTTTTGGATTGATTTTTGTGTAACTAGTTTTTTTAATCTGAAATTTCTTTTTTATAGTTTTTCATGGATTGAAAACTTAAATGATGGGCACGGATATACTTGGATAATAAATTTTGTTCTCCATCTGCTCGTATTTCGCTACTATCCAGACCGCCTATATATACCGTTCTACTACTCCATAAAGATTTCTGAAAAAAGGAAGAGTATCACTCGAGTGAAATGACCTCCAGGTTCTTCGTGAGTTCTGTGCTGTTCTCTATATTTGCGCTATAGGCGTGCAACTCAACTATGTGCTACCCCAATCGACGGCGCCTGGTTTCTACGCGCCTCCAAGAATCTGGTTTAGCTTATATCTGTGAATGATGCGCTCTTCAGTGGGCTGGGTATTTTTGTACGTATCCAGCCTTTGTTTTGGACCTGTAGGGCTCAATCTGTCCTCTATGCTGACAACATTGAGCTTGGCCTCCTTTTCTATAGAACCGCTTTAGCTTGTTGAAATAACAATAATAATTTAAAAAAAAAAAAAAAAAGAGCCCGGAACTAACGAGGAGGCATTTTCATTTTTTTAACCAGTCCAAGGTTCGCGTTTCCACGGATAATTCATTTATTTAGTTTTTGTTATGATTCGTATATTTACGATATTATTCAAAAGGAATATAAAAGATTCATATAAAAATTAAATTAGTTTAAATTGCTTTCATATTTTGTAGTTCTTTGATTGTTGTTGGAAGACTTTTTGAGAATCTTAGAAATTACGTCATTAGGAATCGCATCAAATAGGTTGACAGTATTTGTTGCAGACCAGATCTCTAATTTAACATGTTGTTTTTTGTCCTTTGTATGTCTCTTTGATTTAATTTGCTATAATAATTCCTCTTCTGACCATTATTGTAATTTGGCGAGAGTTTTTTTTTTTTTTTTTCTTCACGATATTGTGAAAAGACCATGTTTTTCAATACCATCTTACATAGTGCTGCAGAGAGCAGTGGTTAGTTGAAATCAATACAAAAAATTCCGTGTGCTTATGCTTGTTTGTTGGCATCTATTGCTGCACTTTTAACTTCTCTTTAACTATTAACTTATTTCACGAAACTGAGAAGATTTTATTTATTAATGACACATGAAATGTGTAGAATATTTTATATTTATGATTTTTTTTTTCATAACCTTATGTTTACCTCCTTCTCATTTTTATTTATTTATTAAGTTTCATATCCAGATAGCATATAATCTTCAATATATAATAATAATAATAAATCTAAATAAGGGTGGCATTATATTATTTGAGTTTAAAGTCCTACATACAAGCAGTGCAAACTTATTAGATATCCAAATTAGATGAACTTGTTGTATTTTTAAAATAACAGAAAGCATATATTTGATTCGTTACATTAAATTTTTTTTTTATAAATATAGCTTGTATCATCTAAAAAAAAAAACATGGTTTTGTTTGGAAATTATATATATATATATATATATATATATATATATATAACTAAAAGAAGTGAAGGTGAGATCATTCACTTACTATACCTCCTCACCTAATATCCCTATTCATACATTTCTTTGTTGCTTCTTGATTCCTCTTTCTTTGAAAAATAAATTAATTAGTCCATTTGGTTTGAAAACTATTTTTTTTTGTCTTTTTTATCGTTTTACTATATTTATTTATTTATTTAAGAAATAGAAAAAAATAAAAATAAGTAAAATATGAAAAAAAAATATTTTATTTTTTTGAAGAAAATTATCTCATTCAATCAAAAGTATCTTAATATTGTATAAAGAAATCATGAAATCCTATGTTGGGTTGTTTTAGTGATCCTTATTCGTTCTCGTGTAATTATATAGATTAATATGGGTGAAAAAAAAGGAAGAAAATAAAAATAAATACAACATAGGGAGGTAGAGATGGTTTTTGAGATAAAAAAATTGGAAAGAGAGATGTGCAAATAAATTTCAATGATTCATAAAAATAGTAACTAGAGACCTCGTTTCTTTTTTTCTTTTTTAGGACCACCATGTAGAATTAAGAAAATAGTAAATTGGAAGATTTTAAAAAAATTATTTTAGAAAAAAAAAACAAAACAAAATAAGTAAAGTATGAAAAAAAGACGTTTTATTAAAAAAAAATTTATTCGTAATCAATACCGATTAAAAAATTAAAAATTTTATTTTTGAAACCAAAAGAATTAATTAATTCATTTCTCAAAATGAGATGAAATAATTTATAATTTAATTAGCAATTCAAGAATCTCTTTCATCATAAATTAAGAATTTATGGAAATCAATTTTGTAATAGTTTTTATTTCAATTTATTGATTTTAATATATTCCATACAACTTTAGATGGTTTTTTTTTTTCAAAAAAAAAAAATTATACTATATATTCTGAATCTACTTAATATGATTATAATATATATATATATTGAAAATTAATTATGTATTTGCGTATATAACATTAATTATTTATTATTTATTCCTTTTTATGTTCTAAAATCAATATTTTTTAAATAAAATAATTGAAATAATGTTTTAGAAGAACCTTTCAATTATTCAAATACAATTTATACCGATATTATTGATTATTTTGTTAATAAATATATATTAATCAAATGATTTTGCTCGGTTAATAGATTTGATTTATATTAATTATGATAAATAAGATTTTTATCCATACTCGTATCATATGAATCGTTGACTTTATGTATATAACGGTTATCCGATCGCAAAGATAGCGCGAGTATTTAACTAGGAATCACTTCAAAAATTTGATAAAATTATTTTATATTTTTAATGTTCGTAATTTCAGGTAATATTTTCTTATTTTTTCCAATAGTTATCATTACTTGTACGCATCTATATACTAAATGTATATATTAGGTCATGGGTTTTAATAAATTATATAAAAATTAACATATTGTTATATAAAGATAGTTTTGTAGTAACTAATATAAGTTTTATTTGAGTGACAAACATATATGGAGTGTTATATTTCCTTTAGCTTATAATTATTACTTTATTTGTTATATCCATTAGTATAGATCATACAATAGTTTAAAAGCGTAAATAAAGTTAAAATCTAATTGTTTCGCTATTAATGAAGCAATTAGAAAGCGTATATCTTTACTCCAAATCGTAAATTTTGTTATTTAACGGGCTTATATGATGTACACATACTTGTATAATTCAAAAGCCTTAAACATTGCAGAGTCAATTTTCATAACGAGATGTGCATAGAGTTTTCTATCTTTTGTTAATTAGTTATTTACTTTTGAAAACTAACCTGCATAAAAATGTCTTCTCACATTTCTCTTAATTAGAAGTGTTTTAACTCTCCTTTAAATGGGTTTTGAGCATGAATTTGTTCACTATGAACAACCCATCCTTTCTATTGTTGTCTTGAATTCCTAATTAATTCTATCAATCTATGCGATTGATGTATTCTTAATTTTATATCTCACAATTTCACGTATGAGTCGGGTCAAGCATCACAAATTCTTATACTCATCCAAATCCAACAAAAACATTCAGCATGCATGGAACAAGCAATGTCGCATGAGCAAAACCTTGTAGAATGTATATATATTGAGAAAAAAATAATAAAGCAGGGGCATATGCAATTCTTTATGTTATTCCATAAATTCTACTATTTAAAATACAAAGCAGTGGCTCGAGTCAAGGTAGGCCCAATGCAAATTAATTAGATGTACAGGCACTTGAGGGAATATATTGTCACTCTGTGAAAATGCGAATCTTAAAAAAAAAAATAATAATAATCATAAAATAAACATTGTAAGATGCGAAGATGTGAAATCTAAGCACGAAAATACTCATTATCTGTAAAATATTAAAAACTAAAATATAAAACATTTAACCGTTGTGAATCCTTGAAAAAAATATCGAAGGACCGTATAAGTTCATCACCTGCTTGGTCGTCCTAAAAAACACAGGGAATGTTTAAATTCCGAACCTGCTAAACACAGTTATTTTTAGGTCATTTTTGCCTCCTGTGGCCTCCTAATCGAGGAGATCAAGTTGTGCAGGCTAGCATTGCTGCTGCAGGTTGATGTAATTAAACTCCTACCATAAACACCCTTTTGACCTGTGCATAAAGCAAGCAATTTCCATGTCAAATGACCAACCAATCACCATGTACACGTCGTAAACAAACAATAATTCTTAGCCATTTTTGCTGCAGTTTTTGCTTCTTTTTAAAATTTGGAGGGGAAAAGTAGCTGCTGAATAAACACATTAATAATTTTCTAACTCATTAATTAATTATATATAGGCAATTGAACTCTATATCCTAGGACCATTCGCTACTATAGGAAGCTAATCTTAAGTAGTAAGCTCTGTCTTCCAGTTTCCTATATATGTGGATAGAAGACCTAGCAAGAGGGGAATTCTTCTAGCCACACAATATTTCCTTGGCTACCATTTACGACAGCAACTTTAATGGATACCATCTGGGCTTTTAGCTGTCATATTGTCTTGTTAGAATCGTTTCTTTTTCTTCCCATGTGCTGCTATTGGACCACATATTGATGATTTCCTAATCCTCTCCTCCCTTCAACGTAGTCCACTCAGAAGCTGCACCTTATTTGCCAAATCATCAAGGATAATTTTCAACTCTATACACACATCACAATATTAATTTAATTTGCAGTGAATACTCTAGCCAAAGAATGTCTGTATCATATCATTATACAAATACATAATTTAATTAGAAAGTAAGACCATCTTTTTTTATAGAGAGAAGATTAATTAACAAAAAGAGGCTTCTTGTTGTTTTGAATAATCACGAAAGGGACTCCGAGCACAAAAATTGCGGACCTATCACGTCCAATTCGCTTCATATCCCAGTTGGCAGTTGTGTACAACTTCTATATAAACCTACCAAAACTTATCAGGAAACACACTCAAAATCCAATAAACAATAGCATTTTGGCGAAAATGCTTCTCATTGTCTTTCTCTTTGCTCTCATATTTTCGTCCTCCTCTCATGCAGCCGATTTCTGTGTTGCAAAACTAAAAGGTGCAGGAAGCCCAGCAGGGTATTCCTGCAGAATGCCCTCAAGGGTCACAGTCGATGATTTTGTGTTTACTGGCCTTGGCGTTGCTGGCAACACTACTAACATTATCAATGCTGCTGTAACCCCAGCTTTTGTACAGCAATTTCCTGGTGTAAATGGGCTTGGTCTATCCATAGCTCGACTAGACCTAGCACCAGCTGGCGTTATCCCAATGCACACTCACCCGGGTGGGTCTGAATTGTTATATGTGGTGGAAGGTAAAATCACTGCTGGATTCATTTCCAGCTCGGCCAACGTTGTCTACGTGAAGACTCTTGGGAAGGGTGACGTTATGGTGTTCCCACGAGGGTTGCTTCATTTTCAAGTAAATGCTGGTGAGAATAATGCAGTCGGTGTTGTTAGCTTTAGTGACCCTGATCCCGGCCTCCAAATCACTGATTTTGCATTCTTTGCCAATGACTTGTCCTCAGAGTTGTTGGAGAAAACTACTTTTCTTGATGATGCTCAAGTTAAAAAGCTCAAGAAAGTTCTAGGTGGAACTGGCTAGGCTTGCTAAAAGTCTAAGAACCTATTTCTTCTTGTGTTTTAATTAGACCGATTAATTAATGTGGTTGTGCTCTCATCAATTATTTTTCATTTTATGCAATTTTGTTTGGTTTCAAACTAAAAGCTCCGATTCTAGTGTATGCGTTGTTTCACATTAATTGCCAAAATTTAGAGCACAAGAAACTAGTTCCCATTTTTAACTACATAGATAGTAGGAGTCCATGTTCCTTCCTTTCCCACAACAACAACAACATATTTCTTTTTTTTTTTACATCTTTTCCTCTTTTCCCATGACAATATTCATCCTTGCCAATCTATTGTCATCTCTCAAGAGCTGTCTCCGGTCCACGTTGCACTTTTAGTTCAGTGACACTTTGCTGTAAATAAAAAGAGGGGAGAGGAACGCTGCCCTCTGGGCACGGGTAATCAAAGACCGGAGGCCCAATATGAGTCCAGTCAAGAAAAAAAGGTCCCACAGCTTTAATAAAAAGAACGAGTTTGCTTGCGTGGGCTTCGTGCCGAGGAAAATTTTCTCAGTTTGAATTTTATTTATTTATAACAAATTATGATTGCAGAAGTAAATTATTATTTAATCTTTATGATTTGGTTATATCATGTAATAAATCCTATTGGAATTGTTAAGTTTTACATATAGAAAGCGTAAGTAGCTCACAGCAAGATTAATAGAAGTGACTGAAATATATTGATTGAAAAAATTATAGGAAGGCAAAAAAAATGTAAATACTATGTGCTAACTCTCTTCTAAAAGATAATTTTAGAATTAATAAAAAATGAACCAAAATAAAAAGCTAAAATTGTCCTTTTTGAATATCTTAAATAAAGAGGGACTAAGACCGGCTATATTTGTGAAAAGTTCATGTAAAATTAATTTATTTTGGTGGAGCAATTAATTTATTAAGAAATTCCAGATCGAAATTAAGTTTAAAAAATAACTGGGATTGTATATATATCTTGGTGCTTGATGCTAAAAATAATTTGGAAAATGTTTATTTATCCGATAATTGACGAGAGTCAAATGCCAAAACTCAAAACTAATCTCCTTATGATTTTGTTTTTTTTTAGTTTTTATTTTCTTGCATTTTGCAGTGAGAGAGATCAGGCAGGGCATGGGCATGAGTTGGATACCAAAAAGCTTATCCAATACCTGTAATTTTTTTTTTTTTTTTCATATATATAACATATTCTTGTTTTGGATGTAAAGAGAAGATACATCACAGCTGCTCTATATTTTTTAACCTTATAACTCTTACTTGGAGGATGATTTAAAGGTTTACTTATATAAGCTCAATCTTAAAATTCATGCAGAGAAGAATTTTTTTAATCATTTAAAAAGTAATTTAGGTATTTTTTTAAAAATCCTCTCTTTTCTTTAATTCTGAGATCGATTAGAAAAGAAAGTAAAGAAAGTAGAGAGATAGAAAAAAATGGAGAGAGAATCGTAATTTTAAAAAGAAAAGGGAAAGAAAGTTTCTAACATAAACTATTCGCGAGACAGGGACAGTGGTAGGAGTATCGCTAGATAGGTATTTACAATGGCAATAACAACAATAAGCTAGATGCCTTAATTGCAGAAGGTTATAGCCTCATCAACCATAAAAGCACAATAACTTGTAAAGAAATCATTTGGTTATAAGATTTTATGGAGGAATTATGTCAGAAAGAACTTGTGAGCACTTCGTTGTGTCATTGTCAGAGTGCAGTGCATTTAGCAAAGAATGCAGCTTTTCACTCAAGGATAAGACATACTAAAAGATGTTATCATTTCATCCGAAAGGCATTGAAAAGATAATGAATTGAAGCTGGGCAAGATTAATGGTGAAAAAAATCCAGCTGACATGTTTACTAAGGTGGTGGATAGAAACAAGCATGTTTTTCGTACTGCTACTGTTGGAGTTTCTAAAGGAAGCTAAGAAGAAAATTATAAAGGCATAAAGCAACACTGAATCTTTTTGGAAATGATACTGAGCGTATTATTTGGTGAGTTACCTAGGCTGAATGGAAACTTTCAAGATGATCTATTTTTATTTTTTAAGATAAGCTATAAGACGTGGTATAAATAGAGAAGGGGTCTGGGTTAGTTTGATAAGCTGGGGTGGTAGAATCCAAAAACAACAATAATATTGGTATTCTTTCTAGAGAGAGAGAGTGAAAGAAAAATATTGTGTTTTTTTTTTTTTTCTCTTTGAATCCATGAGGGAGAAGCACAAGAGAGTTGTTAGAGCAAACACAAACATAAGAGAGTCTTGAGATTCTTAAACGCAAAAGTCGTATCCATTTGTATCCCATAAATTTAGTGGATTTGTAGAGTGTCTCTATATGGGGATGTAGCTATTGTTAGGTGAATCTCGTTAACAAATTTTGATGTCTTTCTTGTTCATGTTAATACACAAGTTTGCTTATTATTGCTTTATTATATTCTGAGTTTGTAACATAAACCTTTATTTATATCAAACTCTAATCATGCATATCCAAATAATGTTTCTCATTGTATGAAATGAGCTTGAGTTGTAATTGATGTATGCAGGTTGGCGTCAAGCCAACACTTGTAGTGATAGAAGACACATAGCATTGCACTTTGTCTCTTTGGTAAAGATGCTAAAACCTCGTGGTGTGAGTCAGAAATATGTGTCACTTACTAATCAAAGTATAGAGGCGAAACATATTCAGTGGAAGCATTATAACATTACAACTATGTGTTAATGATTCCACGATTTTTTTTTTGTTTTTTTTATATTTCGATCATATTTTTTTCTTTTAATTTCACTTTTTAATTTCTATCTTAATCATATCTTTTCGTTCAATATTTTAGATTAACGGTGTTAAATTGCAATATTTTACTACATGATTGCTATGCGTATTAATTTTTTGTATTGAATTTTAATAAATAAATTTTGAATGTTTAGCTTTATTATTTTTTCATCAAATTTAATTTACAATGAATGGGAATAAATTTTCAACACCCTCTCCTCCCAAGTTGGAGGTTTCCAAGTCTACTCAAATTTGAATGCTTTATCATCTGGTGGCGTTATGGCTAAATGGGAAACTTCGTGTGGTTGTCTATTGATTTCACCAAGGCAACTTGCTCAAAATTATAATAATCATTTTTTATTCAATTACAGAGGTTGAAAGAATTAATTCAATGTAATATTTTGTAAGAAACATTCAAATTAATGAAAAAATAAATAAATTTTTTCAATGAAAAAAACAGATAAAATTTTCTCTTCCAATCTCAACCTTTCATTAAAGGAATTTCAAACTATTTTACATATACTTTGGTCAAATACAAACCTTTGTGTATTACAAGAAGGATCATGTCTTTGATTCAAATCTCTCTTTATCCTTAAATATAATGACTCATGACAGATTTGCCACGCGGTGGATGAATTGTTATAATTTGAACATTCTGAAATTCGTAGAGTGTAAAGATTATATACTAAACTAGAAAATGAACCACTGGAAATTCCTAAACGAGAATTATTATTTGTTAGAAATTTTCAATAAATTAGTTATGGATTAATAAAAATTTAGTCATCAAAGAGAAATTTTATCAAGACATCTATGAAAACTTCAATTAGATTAGCTCATATTATTTTCAAAATCATTCTATACATCCCGAAATTGGAGATCAAGGTAGGAATTGAAAAAAAAAATCACAGCTTTATTGGAGAACCCAATAACAGTGACTCACCTTCATAATTGTAGTGTGTAGAGAAATTCCAGAGGCCAAAGAGAACCCTCAATAGTACAACCCAATAACTCTTGACTTGTCAATGGATGGATTTTGGACTTAAATAAGTTATGGGACCAAATTTTATTTCTTAATTATCATATTGACTTTGGGCTAAAAATCTATATCTTTTATGTTTGGGGCCTGGTAAGGCAAGGTTATTTAGATTTTTTTTTCTTCTTTCTTCGTTTCAAGGCCCCCACCATATAATTGCAGAGGTCGGCCCCTATTTCCGGAATTCATTTGACTGATTCTTATATCAGTGAGCGCTGAGCGCTGAGCGCTGAGCACCGAGCACCGTACTTTCTTTCAATCAGACAAGTAGCTTTGGGGCCAAATTTTCATACATCAAGTGGGAAATTGAAATGTTTCATCATGCATGCAAGTTTTGAAGGAAATGGCGTATTGTTGAGGACGACCACGAATATCCGTCGCTTCCCCATAGAAATGCTTAATATTGGGACTCGATTATTTGTTCTTTTACTATGAAGCATCAAAGATCTTCAATGCTTTCCAAGGCTAATTTGGTTACATTTGTTTAGATGCTCTTAATTGCATTACTACAGTTCTAGTGTTGGCTTTAAGAGAGCTCTTGTCCTTCATCAGTTCTCCACTAAGCTTTGTACAGCTGTAGTGTAATTCTGTCTGCAAACTTAATTTTGCACCTTCATTTCTGTATTCTTTTCCTTTTCTTTAACTAAATTGTTACCTTGTTTCTATAAAAAATCAAAAGGGCCACTTTTTTTTTCTTTGAAGGAACTATTGTGTGTCTATATATGTGTGTGTGCTAGAACAAAACAAAATTTCCACCTCTGGCCCCCTCCTTGCATCTGATTAGTCGTCCAGATTGGAAAGAAAGAACTTTATTCTAATTAACGTTCATTGCTCATTCAAATCATAGTCAATGACCAAAGCAGGAGCTTTAACTTGCTATCCATGATGGCGGCATCCTGCTTTTTACTTGATCCGCCGTTGCTTTTCATCGTTTTTGTTTTGGTGGGTATTCTATAACCATTGACATGGATAATTGAAGCATTCAAGATTTAGAAACCGAAGAATTTGGAAAATAAATTTTATCCACAATTTTATTTTATTTTTTGCTTTTCGTTGCCAGCATCTGCTAATTCAAGTAATGTGATGAATTATTGTTCAAGAACCTTTCATAGCATGATTTCCCATGCTTTTACTGTTAACACACTATGCACGAAGGCCCACACCTATCAGATTTCAAATCAATCCCAAAGCAAACAATA